CACCATAATGGAGAGGCCCTAGAGGAAATTCATCAGGTCGGTCTGGAGCTTCACCAACGGGAGATCCGTGCCTTAGAGCCGGAAATGCTCCGGCAAATCAGTCTCAGGTGCTTCAACGACTTGCGTACTATTCTGCTCGTTCACGATAAGAGAATGCTTGGGATCGTCAAACAAGAACTTGGCCGTTTAGTGACAAGAAATGTTCTTACATTGTCCCAGGCTAAAGTTCTCGATAAGGGCATCCCAGAAACAATCCTCCCGGGGTCGCTGGAGCTTGACCAGGCAATTGCACACTGCAAGGAAATGCCAGACCTAAAGAATGAGTATATTCTCAAGCCCATTCGGAGCGGAAAGGGTGACGGGATTGTGTTCGGCGAGGATTTGGACTCAAAGGAGTGGATTTCAAGATTGGAGGGCTTGCGGTCCGCTCAATTGATTCCGGGCGGTGGAACCTGTATTGTCCAACGCAAGGTCAAGCAGATTTTGTACGACGTGGTGTTGAGACCGACGGGCGAGAAAACTAGATACCCGCTTATTGGAACTTACCACTCGATCAATGGTGAGTTCCTGGGAGTTGGGGTTTGGCGCAGCAGTCCGGATCGTATTTGCGCGATCAGTCATGGAGGTGCGTGGACGGTTTCGGTTATGCGTGATGAATAGCACTTGTTTGATCCATACGAAGTATTCATTTTTATTTCCTATTAAAATCTATGTTTTTCGAATCCTATCTATCTTCTACTCTGTCCCCTTGAGGTGGAAATGATTTGAATAGTTGTAAAGAATCTGTATGGAAGTGTACGTCATATTTCTAAAGATATAACTATAGACTCCGTTAACGTAGTCTAAACCTCTGGCCGTTTGCAATGGATACGTGTGAGGTTTGACTGAATGGTCGTACTAATGTGGCGGCGCGAGTCGTATACGAGAACCTTCCCAGACAGTAAACTTGATGCATCCCAAGAATACATCTTAGAGAGAAACGCGTAACGCATGATCGTAACTTCCATATGTGATATCTGCGGAAAGGCCGTCTTCCGTTGTCACTTCAGCTGAATTCATGCTGAACTCAGTGTTGAACGCATGTATCTACTGTACCCTGCAACATGTCCAGGGTCTACATTAGCAGCAGGGCTAGTGTCGCTAGGGACTCAGCTGCAAGCCCATGTCTTAAAGTCCTGACTAAGTGGCAACCATTAGCGCAAAAAAGGTTGATATGACTTTTTCGGCTCATGGACCCTGTGGATCCACGGTTATGTGGTATCATATCCCATGCATGAAGCATACGATCCAGGAGACCAATTCCGTAACGCGACCAAATTGCACCCTAGAAAATCATTTCTATCCACAGGAAGGAGCGGCGTAAAAGAGCTTTCCTGGGCATAGTGTTTGGGCCCCATTTCAGCTACTTCCCGAGCATTGGCCCCGCTGGCCCTCAGCTGAACTAGCTTGTGGCTTGACTTTTAGTATATAGTGACCATCACACTGCCGTACCTCGAATATTCGTATCTCTCTTTGTATCAGATCAGATAAACTGAGCAAATCATCTGTCATCCTATTCATCTTTACAAATACCTTAGTTCAATTTATCGTTTAATACCTCCAATTTCGTTGATTCCGGCCTCCGTGTTTCAAGACGAAGAGAGCCTCACAAAAATAAAAAAAAAAAAAAAAATGCAACAATTCGTACGCAATATTCAACCCACCAGAATGGTGGACATAACTACACGTGAGTCGAACACCTTCAAAGATCCTAGTTGTGATGAAAACCCTAATGCAGAGAAGAGGCGTCCCGTGCCCTACCGCACTTAATAGTCAGTGACCTCAGCTGCGCAACGCGACCAAGCCACGTTGCAGAAGTTTCGAGCACCCTCCGGAAAAGCGGCATTCTCAAAGTCAGTTTACAGTTCAAAGACGACGCTAGCAAATATCTCCAAAATCTCATTCTCGGTCTCCACAAAAACCATGGGCACGGATTGCCCATTACACATAGTGCATCGCGCGGTTGGTTCTGGGACATCCGACCAAATAGCACGACATTCCAAACCCCATCTCATCAAGCGCGGTCCGAGACCATGCAGGAATTCCCTTGGCATACGGACTGTAGCTACGAGGAGGCCCCACCCAAATACTTTGCGTTACAGGTTTTACGGGAAGATCGATGTGGCGGCGGTACGCTCTCGGTAATGAATGTGGGGAAGCTGAGCTCCATGCTCTCTCCGTCTACATGTGCTGCACTGCTAAGACCCGAATTCCGCATTGATGTTCCTCCCGAGTTCGTGAAAAGCGACGCTAGTCGACACATTATTGGTAGCCTAATGGCTGCTGACTCGAGTGGCGCGCCAAGTATGCTGCGTTTCCGGGAGGACATCCTCACTCCTCTGAGTGTGGAGGCTGCAGCCGCGCTAACGGAGTTAAAGGATTGTTTGTTGGGATTGGAGGTGCAGGCGGAGACGCTCCATCTTACGCCAGACTGTTTACCTCGGGGTTCTATCGTGCTCATGGATAACTACCGGTGGCTTCACGCGCGAAATGAAGTTATGGACCCCGAGCGGCACTTGCGCAGGGTGCGCTGGGATGCGAGCCCATTTCCTGCCGTGACTATGTAGCCCTTTTCGTTGGTCAGAGCTGGATGTGCGCTGGTGGAGCCTCGGCAGTAGGGTTCGTAATGGTCGCGGAATTATATGTATAAAAAAGTGATTATTATGGAGTACAGTTCTTATTCAAGAAGCGTCATTTGAATTTAACTACGAATTTTACTGGTTCATTGTCATAGTGGCTCGGAAAAGTAAACGACTCCTCCAGAATTGATCGCCGTCGATCAGCTTAACCTCCCGAATCGCATAGTTCCTTGGCACCTAAACCAACGCAACTTTTGTTCGACGAGAAAAAATGATACCGGACAAGACCTTAAATACTGTAATACCATCATGCTACTATAAGGACCAGTCATGCGGTTTCTTCAAAAGAGCTGTAATTATATTTTTCTAGTTCACAGGTTCATCAGGAATTCTGGCGCACAGGTCTACAGCGGCTAGAAACTGCGTGTCATAGGTGGAATTACAAATGTCTTGGAATCTTACGCTGCGTTTCATTCGCAAGGAAGCTAATCCCTCAGTATATTATTTAGTACCTTATGTACCTAACATAATGGATATGTAAGTTCGATGCATAGCGTGCGGAAGTGCGCTGATGATACCTTCCTTTGCCAATTGATATATCGCCGACCACCCCCCATAACCTTGACGATACATTGGACATTGTCTCAAATTGACGATTTTCTGCAGCTGTCCCCTCGGCCTTCTCGTTAATTTCTCCTGTTTCTGAAATAGTGCGTTATTTGTATTTATAAGCCCATAATATGCGGATGCGCCATAGCCGCTGAGCACTCACCATATGTACGAACATAATAGGCTAAAAAACGAAGGATCAAGTCACTATATCCCAAAGTAGACATTGTAAAGTGGATTTCGGGTGGGCCTCTTTTTTGTACTATCTAGGACGATGAGTTTAGGAAGTAAAAAAAAAAAAAAAAGAAAAAAAAAAACAAAAAATAACCTAACAATGTGGAATGTACGGGACCTAAGTTAATTAACTTTAGTAAGGTGTTCTATCTTAGCTTCTTAGGATCAAGATCGTCTGTTCGGTAAGCTGACCGCTAACTCAAGATTGTTTGATCGATCGTCGAGCTGACTCGGAGCTGTCCTATCATCTTTGTTCAGCTTGGAATTACCCCACCCACCACACAAGAAGTGATCACCTGGCGAGATTGCCAAGAAGCGTCAGTTCAGCTGTCACAGATGCTTCCTTCGTGCAGGACAGTGGCAAGATTATTTGACAGTGCACCAGCGTCGGAGATTGCCGTCGAACGATCACCCTAATAATGCATAGTATGAACATGGGTTGGGATTACACGGCAGAAGCACAGACTTACTAACACTACCGAAAAAGGGAGCTCCACCTTTCTGCAGCTACGGCTGGAAGCTCCATTCTAGAAAAGCATATTACCGAGAGTTTCCGCTTTGTGGGAAAGGTTTGCAGATCAATTTCCCTAAATTTTAGATCAACACGCGAAAGCTCGTCGCCTTTTCTAGTCGGGTTTTGAAGATCTGTGCGCAGTTTTCACCAATCACGACGCTATATGCAGTCACTCGGCTGCAGCGTTCAGCTCCATCTTGCTCCAGGCGATGGGGAAGCAACCTTACATCTGACATTAGGGGCAGGGACTATCGTTACTACGGAAACACCCATGTGCAAGCCGAGCACACCATTCCGGATGGCTAGATTTCAGAGCGCATGTTATCCGGACACTACTTTAAGTATCCATCTGTGGTGGGTTCACTGACCTAGAAGGGGCTATCCGCGTACATCCCTATCGCTGAGTGAGATCTTTCGCCAGCTTCAGCTCATTATTGTCATGATATCTATTAGGTGACTCCAGCTTTTCGCGCAGGCATTCAATATCCGTCACATCCTGAGCGGCAACTAAAGCCTTCGCTTTCTGACTTCATGGCCCTTTGTCTTATGGAGTAGGTTGCGAACCATAAAATATGATAATATCCGGGAACGTTGATTTCTGTGTACGACTTTTCTCTTTATTATCTTAGGACTACGGCGTACTGTATTAAAAATATATACTTTACAGATACCTCCCCTTACTTTAAAATAAATTACTTAGGAACCTATACTTCTCCAAAAGCTACAATAACTAAAATTGTCAGTTTATATTTACCCGATGTCTTTTTCAGTGGAACAGTTCACCTGAGCCACCGTGGAGAATTACTATTGATCGTCATCTTTGTCTAGCTGAAATGGGTTGTGTGGTGGTAGCCTAAGTTTTAATGTTTTCACCATACACTTAAAGTCAAGCCGCATGACATGGCTTTTGCTTTCTGGAAGATAATGTAGACCTATATATGTCTTGCTCTCCTCCCTCAGCCCTGGAATACATTAGTCTCCTTTAGAATAAAGTTTCCGCCAACGGACTACGACTACCTAACGAAATGGCTATTTTGAAGAGTGATGCTACATCTAGACTTCATAAATTTCCGAACGATCCAATATTTACTCGACTTCGCAAACTCTACGCAGAGAGACCAGGAGTGCTGTTTCACGATGAACACGGTATTGATGCCGGCTATAGTGACCTGATCAGCGATGTTATACACATGCGTCAGGTCCTGCGAGAGCAGCTCCCAAGTACTGTATTTGGCGAGGATGGCCTGCTACAACCAGAGGCTCCTTCCATTGCATTTCTCGCATTCAATGGGTACTACTTCATTGTGAGTTTTCTGGCCATTGCGGCCCTGGGAGGCATCTGTGTGCCACTGTGTAAGTTAAGCACTCTGTTCAAGTCAGTGTTGGAACTCTAACGACGGCTGGTAATAGCAACAAGCCTTATTCCAGAAGAAGTCCTCTATCTTCTGAATAAGACGAATGCAAACTTTATCCTTATAGATGAAGGGTGTTCTGAGCTAGGATTGAAAGTTAAAGATCATGCCCGGGACCTGGCTAATCAACAGTTAACCATACATCCGGTAACAAGAGCGAGGCCAGGCCCCTGCCCCAAGTTGGAAATTGATGAGCAATTGACCTTTCCCCCAAAAACTGGATGTCTTGCTCTGTTTACATCGGGGACAACCAGTTCTCCAAAAGCAGTTCTTCTTCCTCGCGAATTATTTCATTCCTTACAGGATCCACTGGACCTAGACGGTCTCTATCTATCTACCAGCTCTGTACATTGGATAGGAGGCTCAACTGGCCTCATAGACAGTGTTCTTTGTGGACAGAGATTACATATCGTGAAGGGAGAATGCGGAGCTGCAAAGCGATGGGAACTTTTGAAAGCAGGAACAATCACAGAGTTGTCCGTGTCCCCGACAACTCTGAGAGAGATGAGGGATTACTATAATGAAAGTATCTCTTGCCTTGCCCCAGAAGATCGTGATGAATATATCAACGGAGCGCGAAAGCTAGAGGTCATATTCTCAAGCGGCTCGCCACTTAGTCCTTCTACACGGCAGTTTTTCGTAGATTTGGCCAATACGCCAATCATGAATGGATATGGAATAACTGAAATGGGTGGAGGTGTCATAATTACCCCAGCTGATTCAGAGTTCACAGAAGTAGGTACAAAACTTTAGCTTTATCTAGCTTTCTTGCTGACCAGTCAGGGACTTATTGGCAGGCCTATGGCAGGAAAAACAGTGAAGCTCTCCAACGGCGATCATGGCGAAATTCTAGTCAAACATCCCAATATGTTTATAAAGTCAGAATACTCGATTTCGTCCCATTTCCACGAAACCATTTACTTACACTGAATATAGATATATGAATGACGAAGCAGCCACACGTGCCGCATTTGACAAAGATGGATTTTATAAAACTGGCGACTATGCCCACCGCGTTGGAAATGATTACTTTTTCGATGGCAGGGCTTCCTATGACTGTACGTATCTCTGGAATTGTCGACCTACACTCTAAGATAACCTAATAATGCAATGCATGCGTGTTTAGGGGTTCGGTTTCATGAATACACAATATCTGTACTGGAGCTCGAGAACCGTCTGATGGATCTTCCATATATTTCCGAAGCCTATGTTATCACAGTTCCGGATGCCGAAGCTGGTGGATTGGTGGCAACGCTTGTTCGACCTTGTAAGCAAAATATAGACGGAAAACAGTACAGCGATATTACTCTGAGACGTATACGCAAGGACCTTGCTGCCGCTAACCTAGTCGCATACAAACTGCCTCCCCTTTTGCGGGTTCTCCGAGACGAGGAACAAGTCCCCCGAACAACCTCCGGCAAAACGTTGAAAAAAGAGGCTCTCCGGAAGTACTTTCACATATCGGGATCCATGCCCGAGGACTATGCTGTTGAGGGTGTGGAGTACTGCGGAAACCAAATCGAGGAGTCTGCTTCGACTCGTGTATTTGATTGGGGGTTTTTATAAGGGTACGAGTAGGGCTATGCGGAGATCAGAACTAGATGTTTTTGGCCTGTATTCATATACTAATTTGGGAAAATTAACTTTGCCTCTGGGTGGTGTAGATATCATAACAGGTGGGGACTCAACCGATGCTCTCACAAAGCTATGGATGGTCTATATAAATGAGGTTTGAGACAGATTGTAGGTTTCCTTAACGACAAATCTATTTGGCGATTGTCACTGGATTGACGCTGCTGAATCTGCGCCATAGCCATTCTCCAATCCGTTGATCTGAGCATTTGTGTAATGTCGTATCCCCTGCGACTCGAGCCCTCAAATATGTACAGAACTACCATGGGGACGTACAACGCATTGACAACCCCATACAGCGACACCGGCTAGTTTACGCACATCGTAGACATATTGGAAGACATAAAGAGGGAGAACAGGGGTTCGAGATATCCGCCTTGAAACCAGCCCTCGGGGTCTTGTCCGGAGAGAAAGCCAATAAGCCCGCCTGCTCGTCTGCGTGCTGTAGTAAACCTGAAGGGCCCTCCGATATTTTGCCTGGAGTAAACCCCGTTAGGCCTGGACCTGATATATTGACGTCAAGAGTATTGAATATCGCACACATATATGAGCCCGGTCAATTCATGAGGACATTTCAACAGTTTTCTGACATTTAGCTGACCTAAATGAAGAAAACAGGTATCCATCCCTAAGAGGAGCCTGACCATTGCATAAAATCCAAAAATACACAGAGTGGTTCCACAGTACGTTCTCTTTTCGAAAGGGACGCGGTCCACCCCGGGAAACACGTTAAGAGGTACCGTACTGGATCACCTGACGCACGTCCCCACCTGCCGCACGGATTTCTATATACACCGACTTTTTGACTTCAACTTCAAACCATCACAACTCCGTCAATATGGGTTCAATTGATGAGGCGCTTGCTTTTTTAAAATCCCTAGATCCAGGAGAATCATTTAAATATGCGGAAGTAGCCAAAAGATTCGGTGTTGATCGTACAACACTCTCAAGGCGCCACCGGGGTGTTATGCATTCAAAAGAGAATCAATATGAAAACCAGCGATTACTCAACAGCCAGCAAGCCAAAACTCTTATAAGTTATATTAAT